TATATGCAAATCCATAAAGCTACACATAATTAAAGTGCTGCTGAGATCATAGTAGAAGCCACTCAAAAGCTTAAAGCATCTCCTACTGTCGTTACTAACATGTAAAAGTTGTACCATTATGCTCAAGATTGTTGTATTTCAAAAACTTGCCAAAATGAAAGTGGTTTTCTTTATGATCTTCTTACATTGATTTGATTAGCTATTTAGTTCTAATCTTTGGTTACATTTATTATTTTGAGACCTTGTAAATCAAATAAAATATTGTTAACTTCAACATGATAAAATATTAAAGTAATTTTCATTTGAAAATTAATTACTTATACTGAAGTTTATTAAATGTTTTTAAATTTTTGTTCATTCCTATTTCCACACTCTTCTCTTTTTTGCTCTAATTTGTTATTAATGTACTTAAAAGGCTAGTCAGGTTGTCATGAAAAATTCCATAAATAAAATCAAGTATTTAAAAGAAAATTAGTGAAAAATTTCTATTATTTTGTGAATAAAAAATCTTGAGTAGATTTATGAAACATACCTCTCTTGAATTAAAATGTTTTATTCCATCATTAACTGCATTTTTGCTTGGTTAGCATCATCATTCTTCTTTGTTTCTTTGGATCTATAGACAATATTTGAATCAAATAATAGTTAATAAGTTAATTTCTTTTTGTTTTAAAAATAATAATTTTACTAATAAAAGATCCATAAGTTTTAAAAGCCTTATTGATTAGAGTTGTATTTGTGTTCTTCATCTTGCAAGGATAATTTGCACCTTACTTTACCTTCTTGTGTTTCCACAAATGTGTTTCTAGAGTCTTTTTTTGATTCCTCCATATTTAAAGATCTTTTTGAAGCAGATAAACCTTTCACTTTCACTTATGGTGTAGCAAGAGCATACATATTTAATAGCCTTTCCAAAATCCTTGTCACATTAAAAATTAGACCTATTTTGGTGTATAATCTGTTACTCACCACCACTTCAAATCTTCAATTTTTATTTTTTAAATTGTTGATTATTGCAAGCAATGACCTTTTTGTAATTTTCTACTATGTAGAAATCATACTTATTGGCATATCAATGAATTGGTCACCAATATTTACAAAAAAAATAAACAAAGCATTTACTATTTTGTTAGTGACAATTGCCTCAATTTTGTATTTAAAATTTTATAATAGTATATTCACATTAAATAATACTTACACAAGCTCAAAATTATTTTTTGATGCACCACACTGCAAGTTGTTATCTCACCAAATTTTTTTATAGTTTTTAAGTTTGTATTGCAACCAATATAATACTAATAATGTTCTAACTCAAATTCTTTGATTAAAACATGGCATTCAAATCTTCTATCCTATAATAAATAAACATTTATTTTTATATGTATTTTCAATAAAACGTAGTGTATATTTCTATATAGTTTATTTTATTAACTTACCCTTAAATTTGTCATTGGGCACTCTAATAATTCTTTGACAATTTTCATTTCAGTAAGAGGGATTTATTTAGCACTTGAGTTTCTTGGTTTTAATGGTACTGTTGCCCACCAATGTTGGTTCATTTCCAAGAATACTAAAATTGTATAATAAAATAATTTATTTTGTTATTTAATATAGATAATTATGTTAAAGATTATAATATCATTTTTTTCTTTAATCTTACATTTCAAGATATGGCTTAACTTCAAGGACATCCAAATTACCATATATCTTTGTTACAAATGTTGTTGAAATTTTCATTGCTTCTATGAATACCAAGTGTTTAAACAAGGGTTGCTTAAATCAAATGGAAACAGTCTAAAAGAAATGCTTTTATGGTAATTAACAATTATATAATCAAACAATTTAAAATCATTTGCACAATAACATTTATGATTTTTTACCACCAATGATGCAATAATCAAAATTTTTGGACCATTGATGTTGAGGATGTTCATTTCCTTGAATTCATTATTGACAAAACCCCAAAAAATAATATCATATTCTTGATTACTATTATTAGTGAATTAAAGATTATATTATAACTATCACAATAGTTTGTCTTATTAAATGACATGTAAATTAATTGTTAATTATACCTTAAGTTCTTAAACACCAATTCAATTCTATTTGTCTCTTCAAATATTATTAGTGTGTGAATTGGATCTCCAATGCAAGAGAAACACCCAATCAAATATAAAAATAAAATCTCATTAAGTATCATTTAAATTTTATAATTTTAAAAAGATTAATAGTTTAAAACTAATGGAAATTCTTTGAAATATATTATTACCTATGTATTTGGATAATATATTTTGGATCTGATAAATCTTGTCAAACAAAAAGAACTTAGACTTATATCTGTTTATATATCCTTCAAAATTTGTTTCTTCAATGATAATTGTGCCATTGAAAATTTTAATTTTTTGTCAATTTATGTATTGGTTCAAATTTATGTATTGATTCAAATTTAGTAAGTATAACATTAAAATTTACAATTATATAAATGTTTCCTTCAATCATATGAGACTTGTAGATATCATCATGAGAATGATCTATCACAATATGAACATGCTTTCCCAAATAAAACAAAGAGCACAATGCATAAATTAAACTTTTCACTTCGTGTGCAGTAAGTAAATTAAAGTGTTGGTTGATATAAAAAAAGATAAATTATTAAATAAATTAAAAACAAATTAATTATTTTAATGTAGAAAATAAGTTTATTCTATTTCATCATATACCTTCTCATTAATGTAATTGAATCAAGAGCATCTAATTCTTGAAGTAAATGTGCCCATTGTTTAGAAAGATCATCAGAGTATTAAGATGAAGAGGCACCATTTGTTAAACTAACATAAGAAAAAAGCCCTTTGCTTTTCCCTAAAATAGCTAGCCATTATCAATAGAATCAAGCTTGCCTATCGAATGCAAAGCATGATGCTTTATCAATTGACAACCTTAGAATGACTACAACAAATAACATTTGTAAGAACAATACTATAAATACAATTTTGTAAACCTACCTCAAAATTTCCACCAAGTTAATAGAATGGCAGCAAAAGCAACGACCGTTAGCCCCCTCCAAATTTAAACCACGAAAAATATCAAAGATTGCATCCTAAGTACTTTCCTTCTCGAACATGGCATCATCAACAAAATAATGAGTTTTTGGTTGTTTGTCATGTCTTGAACTAGGGTTATAAAATCCACTTATTTTTGTTTCCTTTTGACATCCCTAACTTTCTTTTTGTTCAAATGTAACCACTTAACAAAAGCTACCTTCCTCAAACCTTAACTCCTCCATTAAAGCAATAATAAAAAGGTAGAAATGTAGCAAATAATAGGGACATGTCCAAAGACAGATAGCTAAAAGAGATTTCTTAAAAAAAAAATGACTAGTTTGCGTCAAAGAACTATTCAGGTAACCCAAAATGAAAAAGGAAAGCTAAAATCAACTAACAAAGTGGCAAACCAAAATAAATGCCACTAAAGAGTGTTCAATCACCTCACACTTAATTTAGCATAAAGGGACATCCATTTTCAAGAACTTTTGACTATAGAAAGCTAAACTATCTTAATTCATCCTAATTTCTTCTTTCATAGTTAATACAAAACCATGATTTATAATGCCTTAATAGAGGAAGAAGCAAATTAAATCAGGAAAATTTATCTCTTTTTTTTGCTCACTCATCTAAAGTCAAAGATGTAGTTAACCTTTTCCGATATTCTTTTTCAACTCAACACTTTTTTTGCACCATCAACCAAGCCGATTTGTGTTTCAGTCAATCAAAAATAAAATAAAGGTAAGAAACTCCAGCACCATGTATATATACAAAGCAAGTAAAATTTAAAGTATTGAGAAAGTGAAAATAGCTTGAGAAATAGACCTAATATTATCTAAAACAAACAAAAACACAAGAAGAAAATAAAAAGGAATACTCAAGACAGCATCAAAGCCCTAAGTTGTTTGAAATCAAAAGAATGAATGAGGAGATCAAACCCTCATCCAGTAAATGTCCCTCAATTATTTGAAAGCAAAGGAAAGAACGAGCAGATCAAACACTCGTCTACTGAAAGTTGCAATTGAAAAAAGATGAAGGGGAAAGCAAGTGATGGCTACAATTCTAACACACCAAGTCTCTAAAACAACAGTCATTAGTTGCCTTTTCGGTGTTTGTTTCTTTGGCTCTTGCATAAGATGAGAAACAAAATTTCCATAACCATGATTTCCTTTTTGTTCATGAATCCCCTAAAATACAAATTCAAGCAGAGAAAGGAAATTTGGGGACTTAGTCGTTATTGGATCCACAGTGAAGAACGCCCCAATACCTGAAGACAAACCAGTAACAACAAAACTACTATCGCAAACCTTTTTTGAGGTCAAAATGATAATTACTCATCATACCTTTTGAAAAATCAAATTGCCCCCACCTAATAAAAAATTAGACACAAAATATTACAATTTCTGCCATATTCCTTTGAAGGGTAAATTGGAAAATGAAGTGAGAAAAAGAGTGTTTGCAAGAGAAAGAAAGAGGCTGGGCAATGAGGTGAGAGAAAGGAAGAAGAGGATAGTGAAAAGAAAACAAGAATGAACTAGGACTCAACTTTCTTATTCTCTAGATTTTAGAAATTTAAAGATATGTTTGGAAATAAGACCATTTTTTCCCTTTTCTTTTCTCTCGTTTTTATAATGATAAGTGAACAACCTATTTTTATAATTTTTATGTCATTTATTGAGTAAATATGTATAATATCTAAGTCATGCTATGATAAAAAAAACTAATCATTAAATGATACCTAAAATGTATGAAAAAATTACGCATAAAAATTGTCTCCTAATTATTTTCTTTTTTTTTAGGAATTTTTTTTTTCTTTTTATGACTAATGGCAAATTATGTATAGAGTTATCTAACATGTACACCCCTTTTGCTATTAATTTACTTTTAATTTACCGAAACGCGTCGTTTTGCATTTCTTTAGTCGGTTAGTGCTTTGGAACCCGAATTTCCAGACGGCCCGTGTCCGTCTTCCCGAACCTAAAATCTCGAAAGGAGCTTTCTCCTACCTGTAACTGGAGAGAGTAACTTTTTGAAACCCTAATTAAAACTCAAGCGGGTGGATTTTTTTTCCCTCTGAATTAGGGTTAGGGGTTTGATTTCCCTCTCTATTCTCTTAAATTTCGAGTAAACCACTCCTTAGGGTTAGGGTTCAGTCTGTTGATAAAGATGTATGCTGATCGGGTGGAGGCTGCAGCGAAGTTGTCAATAAAGGAGCGTCTCAATGGCAACTCCACCGCTGATTCAATTCGCATGCGTCAAGTCACTGGCAAGAGGTCCTTCTGTTTCTTTTTTGTCAAGATCTCTAGGGAATCCCCTTATGTTTGAATTTTGTTCTTTAATTCGACGTGGTATCTAGGCAGGGCCGTCCATGCACCTAATTTTATTGCATATTACGGTATTTTGGGTCTGTTCATTAAGCCTTTTCTGTATTTCATGGAGTTAGTGTAGTGGGAAGCTGGAAAGCTGAACCCTTTTCAAATCATATAGGAGCATGCTACTCGCATCAAATTTATGTTCATTCAAATCGCCATGACTGTAGGTTCTGGGAGGGATTTGAGAGAGAAGTATGGTGGAATGCATATTTATCTATAGAATTGTTTTATAATTAGTTGATTCACAATGCGGTAGTGGTATCTGTCTGTTAGTGTTAATTTTTCTGCTTATGTTACCTGACAATCAATTTATACGTGTTTGTTTCTATTTTATGGTCAGTGCTTCTAAGGTAGCAGTTTCCTTGATTAATTTAAGACCTTATCATTTGCAGACAGAGGCAAGATGACAAATGGGAACATGATCTTTATGATGATAATGAACATCAAGTTTCTAGTATGGATTTACTGCCGCATACAATTATATGCAACTAAATATTGCTGCTATCTAGGATGTCATCAAATCATCTCTATTTTGTTTTTACTGTGTCATAATGTGTTGTTAAGGACGCAAGGTTGATCCTCGAGATCTTCGGTTGAAGCTTCAAAGGAAAAGTCTTAAGCAAGTATCTCAAAGTGGGAAGGGAGGTGTCCGTGACCTACGTGAAAAGCTATCTGGAACTATGAATTCACAGCCAGTGAATGCTGATCCACCAAAGCCTAAACCGGAGGCTGCCAAACCAGCCAGGAAAAGCATTGTAGTGGAAACATCTGAACCAGAACCTAAAAGAACAGCCACCTCAGCAGTGAAGAAAAAGGATCAGCAAAAGGTAAGTATCTTCTGATTATCTCAGCCTAATTAAAACTTTTTTCAATTATTCCAATCTTTCTCTTCCCTTCCCTTCCGGACTTATAGCTGTTAGGAAGACTTATGTTTCATGTTGGTATCAAACTGAAAATTCGATTGAGAGTAGATCAGGCATGGAGTTTTCTTAAAACTAAAGCGAAAGAATTTTTTTTGTTTTGTTTCATGATACCATTAACCTGAATATTATTAGACCTTAGCATGCATTAGGAATAGTGTTTATGCTTAACGCTATCTTCTCTGTTTTATCTTAGCCTCTTTTTTTTTTCGCTGACAACCATTTTCTTTTTGGGTTTTTATGATTTTGAGGAATTGGGGAGGAGGGTTGGAGGCTTTTTTAAAAACCCATATATGTACGTGATATATAATTTTGTGGTTACTTGGGTTGTTTTTTTAGTTTTGTGTTGTGGAATTATTAGTCAGGCTTGCTCAATACCACTTTGTACCAAGTATAGAAAGCGGGGCATATAGTTGCTGTTGCAGTGAAATAGGGCCAATTAGGGACTTTCTAGGTCAATGTTTACCTGTGACTCCCCTTTAATCTTTGGATATGAGTTTTTCCTATGTGCAAAAATTTACTTGCCTTGTAGTATCTAAGTCTGAAGCAATTTCTTTGCAGGCTGAAACCTCGGTGGAGGACTTTCTTGAGTCACTAGGTCTTGATAAATATGTGATTACATTTAAAGCAGAAGAAGTATGTAAATTTTGCTTTCTTCTATGAATTGCAATTTTGTTTATTATGTTTATTTTAAGACAAACCTCGCTTTACAGGTTGATATGTCAGCTCTTGTACACATGACTGATGAGGATCTAAAAGCTTTAGGAATTCCGATGGTAATTAGCAAACTGAAACCTTTAGCTGTAATCATGGTTGGTTTAAGTTTAATTTTTTTTGCCAGCTATATTCTATATTCAAAGAGGTTTAAACAAAGTATTGTGTATGTTGTTATGGGAGTTATGTGGAGCAAGTCCTTTATATATGTTCAAGAACTGATTTTCTTTGGAAAAGGCAGTATTGGTGCAGAACTGATTGCGTTGATATTAGAACATCCTGTTACCTTCTTTTTCCTAGAATTTCCTTTCAGTACCACTTTGGGATGTGCCCAAATTATTTTTATTTCAAAATTTTGAAAAGCATTGACAGAACTGTATTTTGCTCATAACTAAAACATGGCCTCTATGATCTCTTTTGTTTTCAAGTCTGTATGGCACTTTTGTGTGTTTTAAGGTGGTTATGAAAATGATAAATGGATTAATTTGTTGACTGAAATCTCTCTGTCCTTCACTGTTATCTTCTGATTTTGCCAGAGCCCTTTTTTGCTTGAATCATGACCATGGTTTTCCAAGGGACTGATTGTTTTTCTAGGGTGAAAATTGTATGCTTATCTGTTCCCCTGGCTTAGAGATTCAGAATGCTGAGTGTTGAGAACACACTGTTGTCTGTAATGCCTATAAATTCTGTAACCATTTTATCATACAACTGTATTCATCACTGAGTCATTACTATTTATCTGATCCCCTGATTAATTGATAATCTTGATTGTTTAGAATGTCCAGCCAGTATCCCAGTTTTTTCCTTCTTAAGTGTTTCTAGCTCCTGTCACTAGGATTTTGATAGTTTTTCGGTTTATTTTCAGGGCCCAAGAAAAAAAATACTTCTCGCATTGGAATCAAGAGGCTGACATCTGCAGTTTTAGCACGGTTTTTTGACACTTGAATCTTGGATATATTTGGTTTGGCATGCTCACAAAGTACAGGCATGTCGTTCGGTGGATATGAGCCTGCTTGTAATTTATTCTTCACCATTTGGCTTCATGTGCTAAGTTTGTTATTTATGTCGAACTGTTTACCTTTTGTGATTTGGATAGGAACTAGTTAATGAAGTTGCTGCTTTTTCTATTTTAGTTTCTATTTTTGGATTCTAGAAAGAGTTATGATTCATCTTTATAAAATGATTCATTATGGTTATTTATCACTATTCAAGTTGAAATTCAAACTAGTGTTTAATCTTATTCTTAAATCTCTAGGAGTCCTATAATCTTAGGTACGTTATGTTATAGAATGGCTTTAACGCCGTTGTCTAAACAGTTTGAGCTTTTTCTTAAAAATTTGAGACCTTCTTAGGTTAATGGAGGGAAGAGGGAGAAAAAATAAAATAGAAGGAAGTTGCTCCTCCTGTCTAATTTTTCTGGTAACTCTGTTTCCTGTGATCCAAACAGACTTTTAAAGAGTCTATTCTAATGTACCTCATTTCCTCTCTGACTTTAGTAAGGCCTAAATACTTTAATATTCTCTTATTAATTAGTAATTAAATAAGCATTCTTATTTAATATATTTTATCTTTATTTCAAAAGCATATTGAATAACATTTAAAAAAAATAAATAACTAAAGTTAAACGGTTTAAATTAAAGATAAAATCTATTAAAAGTTGAACAAAAAAGTTCAAAAATTGAAACTTCAACCTTGGCCTCGAGTTATCATTAGAATGAGAAATATTTACTATACGTAATTTGTTTCTTGGTGATAAAGTGGTCACTTAGGGTACTATATTTAAAAAATAAATAAATAAATAAACCATTTAACTCTTTCATATGTTTTATGTTTGTTTAACATTATAAATAACACCCAATTTGAAGTTGCTATATCAACAAAATTTTATAACTAGCCTGGAATTAAGTTTTCTTACAATCCATACCATAGTTGCTATGGTAAACCAACGCTACATGTCCAATTGGGGCTTTATGATTGGTTTGCTATGTGCCATATCACCAAGTTGTAGTTGATCTGGAACCTAATCTAGTGCAGTCCGTAACCCAGACCAGAGGTGGCATGGAGGTAGGGTCCCACGTGGTAAGATAAAATGCATATCTCTTTAATCAAATTTTATTTGAATTAGGTGACTAAGAGAGATTTTAGAAAGGGATCAAATTAATTAGAGTTAGTGAAAAAGTCAAATATAGGTAGTAGACTTTGAGTAAAAAAACGAAATTGTTGCTATAAAAACGTGGAAATAGCGAAACGCACGCAGAAAGTGGTGGGAAGTGGACTAAAAAACATGGAAAACACCTCCGGTAGCAAAGTAAAACCATCTCCTTCAACATAAATCAATTTTTTAGGTCTACCTCTCAGAAAATTGCCCAACGCGCATCAATTTCAATTCTAGATTTGTTTCAATTTCAAATCAGTTTAGCCAGCCTTCAGGATAATTCCAACTTACAATTCGAAAGCTTATGTTCATAACTTTAGTTTGAATCTTTTATTGGAAGTCTACCCAATGCAAGAAATTTTCAAAATAAAACAAAATCTACGACATGTTTTTCCGGATGAAAGTTTTGAAACCAGTTCTTATTTCGTCTTCTAGGTTTACTTTTGTTGTTTTATTATAGTTTACTTAGTGTAATTGCACCAAACCAGAAGTCATTTTTCAATGCGTGTCTTCACTCCGGATAAACTTACAAAATCCCGAGGTGGATCATCAAGGTAGATACTCAGATGTTTAAGTCAACAATAATTAGATCTAGCTTTAAAATAATGGAAAAAGAAGGTTTAAGTCGATTTCAATTACCTTTTTGAGGTGATCTTTGGGAATATTTATAGACTCTAATGAGGTATCCACGTAGCCTGCTTAATAAGATAATCGAAGTCTGATGTGTCCATTTAGGCGATCATCTCAGGGATAGAGAATCGGGTGCAAGCGCATCTATTGTAGCTGTCATGCTACTGCATGACTAAAAAGAATTGAGCTTCTAGGCTACTTTGGTCATTAATAAAATATGGCAGTATGTCTGAGGTTAAAAACTTCAGGCTTATCCTTACACTTAGTTTTTTAGGATTTGAGACCTAATCTCATGTTTTCATTGTAATCGTTGTATGTTCTTAACCTTTTTAAGCTCTTCTTGTGAATGCAATTTATGAATTTATCAATTTTAAATTTCAGATTTGTTATTATAGTTTATTAATTTTTTTTTTTTTTACTTTTTCTTCAAATTAAGGATTTAAAAACAATTTATGTATTTATTTATACTACTCTTAAAAAAAACTAAAAGATAAAGTAAGATTTTTGTAATAGAATAATTAATCAAAATAAATAAATAATGATAAGATTAAAGTAGGAAAAATTATTTCTCTATTCTAAAAAATAAAAAAACGATAATTAATTTAGGACAAGCTCAAAGTCAAATAACAATAAGTATTTTAGGACGAAGGGAGTACTATCTTATTTGCAAGTAAAATAATTTCATCTATAATATAGTTTTTCTTGTATGTCTGTAAATTTGTTTTTAGTCTAGATGTATAGTTTGTTAGTCTTCATAATTCTTCTTTAATGTGTAAATTTATTATCCCTTTAGTTGAGTTTGCATTCTAATTATGTTCCGCAGCACTTTTTAACTTTCATTTGTCATTTAGTTATGCCTTTAGTTTCATTTTAGTTGTCTGCATTTTAGTTGTGATTGTTTCTCTCACCAACAAACACACTTGATTAATATTTTAATATGAAAAGACTCCAATGACTTTCTAAAGTATTATTTTTAATCCATTTGTGTTAAGAAAGCCTTCTTGCCAATTGTCTTGTCTAGGGCGCATCTCTTGCCAATTGTCTAGTCTACGTGCCACTAAATTGGTGTTCTTCTGTTTATTCAACTTGTAAGTCAGCCATTAAATTGGTGTTCTTCTAGTTATTCAACTTGTAAGTCAACCACTTGAAAGAAGATCATTGAAAAAATCCTTTTCTTGCTTTTGTTATAAAGCAAGTGGCACACCTAGGCATATTTGCCATGTTGCAGTTAAAGGGAGGATTTTTTAGGAAACAATGTCACTTTTATTTTCGTTTATGGACTCATTGTTTGCATTGAGCAATGTGGATTAGCTTAGCATGCAGCCCCAACCCACCAAATCATCAATGTCGTTAAATAAAAAAGTAATGAAGCAGACATATCATTTCCAGCAAACCACAGAATTAAGTCTAAGAATGCCACCTCTAATATCTTTTAATCACTCACTTTACAAACAAATAATATTTCCTCCACGCTTTGGAATCAGGTTCCAGTCTCATTCATTTAGCTGGTAACCAGCGGCACTCAGCATAATCTCAAAATTTATTGCTTTCAAATCCCTTCAAATTCTGGCTCCTATCAATTGCCGGTAGATGTTAGTGTATAAGATGCAAAACAGGAGGTGACAGCTACTGATAGAAGCCTATATTCCAAGCAACTTGCCCTTGTGCTGCTAAATAGCCTGTTTCCACCAACATCTTTCTCTTCAACTGCTGAGACACCTTCTAAGGCCCATGATCTTGAAAAAAGGATCAAGCTACCTTAACTTTAGCCTTCCAAGCTAGGTACTTCGCCTTTTCTTGCCTGTATCTTTTCATTTCTCTTAGAGCTGCAAGCAGGACGTGCATTGAAACTGGAAGAAAGAATGGCTGTGCAAGAAGTAGAATTTGTCATGTTAGAAGACCCTTATGAACAATTATTTTCATAAACAATGTGTCCTAACTAGTAAATTAAACATAGGTATGGAGTATTATGTAATTCAAGAAAGACATTAAACAACAGTTCAAATTGGAGGAACAATAGTGCATGCTTGTAATGGCAATAAAGGGGGAGTGGGGTCCAATATAAAGCTCTCCCTCTGTGTGTGCAAAAAGTACAAATTCTCCAATATTTTAGTGTCAGGAGAGACAGGTTCTGTGTAACTAACCGAATAGACTGCAAAACAATGCTCAAATGAGTAATAGCTGACGGACATTATAGATGGGTGGTAAAAGGCATCCTCTGCCATAGATCTTGCTTGCCTCGATGAAGCTGAAAAACGGAATGTTAGTTAGATCTTCCTTGCTTATGAGAGACATAAGCAGCAAAAAGTAAATGACAGCCTACAAGTAAGAACTGAAGTAGAGAAACATACCAGCTGAAAGTTCATACGCACCAAAAGAGACATTATTTTGTGCCAACTTTGCTGCCTCAAGAGATAACTTTACCTAATCAAAGTCACCACCATAAAATCAATTACTGCCTGCTAGTTCCATAACCATATCCAATAATAGAAGCTTAGAAATGCATGCTATATCATCCCTGATTTCTGAAAGAGCAAGGCTAGCATGTTTTTTCTGGGAGAAATTCTAGAGTGCATTCATTTTTTGTAGTAGAATAACAATTCTTCCTTGTCCTTCTGGCTCACAGTGACTTTGTTGCAAAGGTATTCTCATTCTTAGGTCATTTTCTGAGAGCAACACAAACCAGTTTTATCTTCCTTTTCAACAACTAAATCAAATCCCATTTCCCATATCCAGAAACTGTTCAAATAATGTACCATTAAATCCTACCATCTAAATCCCACAAATATATCATAAAAACTCGTTGTTTTTGCTGCCAGAAAGGTCCAATAGAAAGATATTATCTCCAGATTCCCTACTCTTTTGCTCTCAATTCCCCATTAAACATATCTTAAATGATCTACCCTAATATCTGTCTGGCATTTTCACGAGACCTAAATCCTTACTTTTCCAAATCTTAATCCACCACAAAACCACTTAGGAAGACCTTTCAATCTGAAGTTTGTCAGAAGGGCACCATATCTGTAGAACAGTCACTGATATTAATACTCTATTGCTGCCATTTTGAACGTTTGGCTTTTTCCAACGTATAAAAAGAAAAAATGCATGATACCCTAAGCTCATGTACTAGAAAGTGCCATGTTCATGAAACGATAGAAAGAGATTTAATGAACAATGATAGCCCAACATCAAAAATCATTCATAAATCATAAGAACTGGGCACAGCTATGGCCAGTCAGAAAGCATTCATATGGACAACCAACCTGTTTTCCTATCTCATCCATAATAATCATCCTTGGCAGTGATTGAACCTGCATGAAATTTTTATCACGCCCAAAGGCAAAGAATCTATTAAATCAGAAAGTTAGTTTAACAAGCCAAAAAGTACCAATCTTGAAAGAGACCCAAGTGTGGTAGCACATGAATGAAGATTAAAACATGTGTGTTGCCGGGATAGGACATCCAACTCCCTGCACAACAATTACAAGAGAAATACTCTTAAGGGCCTCAACATGGCAGAATATACACTGAATTATTACAAAAAAAACATGATCTAGGATACCATTATTTTTCTTAGGAAATAAGTTAGATATCTTTAGGGCCACTAATCACTTTAAATGGGGTGCAAACCTACACATTTGATCTGGAAGCCACTTTTCCCTCCCTTGTTTTTTCTGAGAGGAACATCACTCTAGTCCTTTCAATTAATGCACCTCTCCCCTTCTCTTTTTGTGGTAGCATTTTTAGATAAAGGCTATTACTTGAATAAAGCATATGGCAAAGTCATTTAACTCCTACGTTTTTGATAATCTGAAAGAACCCATTATCTTACCATTCAGTAAAGCTGTTTTCACTCGGTAGAAGGTCCCACAGGCCTGATGCACCAAGGTAATGGTTGACAGACTTGAGACCAAATAGTTGCCGGAATTGTCCCATGAAAACTTCAAAAATATTCTCAAGATCCTATTTCAGAACGTGAATACATCAGTCTCCAGAAAATTAAATTAAAGCCATCTGTAACAAATACAGCATGTTCTCATCTCATGTTTAAAAATATTGAAGTGTAAGACATTTGATATTTGATTAAAGACAACTATAACTGTTTCGAATTTAAACGGTGAAAAGGTGAATTTCTTTCTACCATGCAATTTCAGTGGTAATTCATTAACAAACAAAATGGTTTGAAACTGAAACTTTTAAATTATAACAATAATGTCGAGTCCTTTAGGTTTGAAATGTCCTTGAGAGAGATGCCTAACAAAAAGTAAAGGAATAGGTGCACATGCTAGTAAATAATCCATTCAATTACTCAAATATTCTTTCAACCTGAGTTAAGAACAACTCAACAAGCCAGCCAGAGAGAGATTAGATGGCAACATTCATCAAATCCCTCGGTCGATTATACTAAAGGGCTTTGGTACCAGATCACCAGAATGAAAATGAAGGGTTTAAGATTCATCCAACAAACTCAAATCTGTTGAAAAATAAAATGCAGCTAGTGATGAACTAATCCGTATAAAATCACTGATCAAGTTTATTCCTAAATCTGTCTCTGGAGTGAAAAGTGAACACCAAAGGATAAACTTCTTCATTTCAGGCTTGGATTTGATTTTACAGGCTATACAAATACCATCAGCTAACACATAAGACTTTAACCTTGCCGCTCTCACAACAGGACCTTAATCCCACATATTAGAGTAGGAACTTTCAGTCTATCCTCATCAAGCCCAAGACAACCCATGAATACTATACTAAATTTCCACTTCAAACAAGAGGGTCACAGAGTACAAGTGGAGCATGACAAATGCAATAAAATGCTTCCATGTGTGAAATTAAAAGCCTCAAAGCCGTCCTTTAACTACAGAAAACTACTGTATGAACATCTGACCTGACTGGGAATTGTGTGCCTTGCAGCATGGTTGTTTTCTGAATCCTTTAAACAGCTTTGTGGGTTCCAAACAATAACACCTCCCCACATCTAAGGATGTCATAGAAAAACTTTAGCAAGGCAAACAGTATCAGGGGAATGTTAGACTATTTGAAAAAGATAAAATTAATTTAGGAATGATAACTAACAGGAGATATAAAGCTATTCGTCTTAGAAATCTCTCCATCTGGAAGTTGAAGAAGAAGAGGACATTCCTTTGCAGATGGCATATACCTGACAACATATAGAAATTTGAACCAATGAGCTTTAATTGCAATGAATTTCTTTTCTTTCCCTTATCAGAAGAAGAAACTTTAATGTTGATTGAAAAAAGTAAAAGTTAACAAATATAAAACATCACACTTTGTAAACATTAATATACACAACTTCGTCCCACAAAATTCTGAACCTGAAACTATAATTCTTTCCACCAATCACAATAAAATATGACAGAAAAAGAAACATCTGCACCAGGAAAAAAACATGCATGCAACAAATTCACGTGAGGAAATCAATTTGCAATGTCAATAACAGTCAAGGGCTTACTATATAAGTATTATCTTATCCTCTGTTTCAAAGTAAATGACTTCAATTAAAATTTATCTACACTGAGATGCGGATATGGTAAACAGATAACAAAAGGAGGATTGAGTAAAAGAACATACACCACAAATTGCAATATCTTTGACCGTCCACCTGCTGCAATTGAAGTATCCAAGTGCCATTCGTTAGAATTTACCTGTTAATTGTAGGTAACTTGCCAATGAAACATTTGAAATTATGCAGAGGCCATAATATAAATGAAAAATAGAACAGATATGAATATCCAACAAATTTCTAGGCCCAAAAAACAACAAATCCATGCACATACATCCAACAAGTAAAGAAGAAGAACATAGAAGAAGGCATGATAAAAATACAAAATGGAACAAATATCCAACAAATTTCTTGGCTAAAAAGAACAAAAAATCTATGCACATATCCAGCAAGTAAAGAAGAAATCTACAAAGAAAGGAAGATCTTTGGTACTAAAGACATGGCTCTTCAATTTCTGATCCCAGTGAGAGAAAGAGGCCTTTGGTGTATGGTATAAAACCTAGACATGAGAACAATGAAAAAATTCAGATGATAAAACAGCCAAGATGATATGAATGATATTAAAGGTAAGGAGATCCATTACCTGACTTTCCACACTTATGTTAGCTACAGGCCCAAATGCCTCAATCATAGGGGCCAACAAAGTCTCATCTATTATCTGAAAATCCCTGTAGCAGACCAGATACAAGGCAACGTGACATTAGAAGGGAAACAACATTACCAGGTAAAATTTTTAGCTTGCAATAAAGAAAGCAAGAGTCTCTACCAAATCCTTGCTTAATTTCAGAAGACATCTCTTTTACAGTTTCATATTCATCAACATGGTTATTCTGTTTTATCCATTATGCTGCACATTGATTTTGCCTTTTATCAAAGGCTTCTTCAACAGTGTGGTTAACCCATTAGCAAAGAGAACTTATATCAAGATTGGTAATTAGTATTGAATAAGAGCTATTAAACTCATGTTAACCAAGAGTTAACTCAAAAGATGAGAAAGCAACAAAGGCCCGTACCAATCATAGATCCAGTCACCGGGATCTGCATTGAGCAAATTGAAGGAAAGAACTATCCTCCCATCAGCTCCCACTGGCATAAACTCATTTCGAATGGAACCCTCCTCTTTCCCTCCATTCATAAACACCTTCACGAACACCTCAGCCACCCTCGCCGCCAAATCCTCCACCTCACTGCCATCAACGACCAACCAAGCATTCCTGTACTTTCCCACCACAGCCCTCGGATTCTCGCCATTCACCACCACCACCACCCTGTACTCCTTCATTTTCCCTCCAGAACCCGAACAACCTCCAAAAACAGACTGCAGCAACTCGTCAACCGCCTCATCATCGTTCCGATCAAAATCAACGCCAGTGATTGCTCCGCACTGGTACAAACACGGGGATGAAGGCCAAGCATTCGAGTTCCGCAGGCAAGCTGAGCTGGATTCGACTGTGACAGAGAGAGTATAGTTGTCAGTGATGCCGCATTTAGGGTTCGGCAGCGTCAGTTCGTTAATCTCGCCGCGGATTGATTGATGGAGGTGATCCGGATTGGAATCGAAACCGACAAAAACAGCCTGGAAGTTGAAAGGAAAAAGTATAGGATCGGACTGGAGCTGACAAGAGAGCAAATCGATGTCGCGAAACGGCAACGGAGACCGGTAGATTTCGACGGATTTCCATAAGAACGGGAAACCTGCAAAAAGCATCAAACATCAAATACTGGAGCTTCTGATCTCTACAAATATATGAGTGAGAATGTGTAGGCAGAAGACCTAGGAGGAAGGAGAAGAGGACGGAAAGGGTGAGGAAGAGGCGCTTCAGTCCAGGTTTTGTCCTGCGCATGGTTTTCAGGTCGAAGTCGGAATCCAGTTCATGTGGTTCGCTAGACGTTCCCGGCTTTCGGGTGATGTTTCCTTCTGGAGCCTCCGAAATTTCTGCCATATTCTGGAGACGCTGCGCTTCCTCAATTCACGACTCTTCAGTTTGAACTTTGAAGAAGCTGAAACTTAGATTTGTATTATTCAAATAGGTCCGAAGTACCCAACGGCGCATCTAGCTGTCTTAGCTCAGCCGGAAGAGCGTATGGCTTTTAACCATGTGATCGTGGGTTCGATTCCCCAAGACGGCGTATTTTTCCTAGTTATATTGTCTGGAGCCACCCTATCGAAATGTTTCTGGAGATAGTAACTTTTTTTTGTATTAACCTCTTTATACCCAATAATCAACATTAAATTCTGATTAATTTATAATCGAATTGTGTTGAATTTTATTAAAGAGAAAATTCTCTCAATATTTATTTTTTTATTTATAAAACTCGAATTCAAAACCTTAAAAAAAATCAAACTCATTCCATTCAGATCAATAAGTTGTTATTTCCCAGGTAGTAATAGATTATGTTGCAGTGCAATAAAAGAGAGAGGTACAATTATTCGCTCTGCCTCAGTTTCCTTGTTCGTGGAATCACAAACCAAGGACTAGAAAACCAAACAATGAATAACAAGTTTCACTGTCATTACTAGAATATGAAGACAATTCAACAAAACCCTTAATTACAAACTGTTGCTTGCTATCTCCCTGACTCGCACAGTTTGCAAGGGTTCATTTTTTGAAAAGAAATCTATGGACATACTTGATTTAACAAAAATGCTTATATTTACTGCACTTAATTTTGAGACAGACGAGCTACAAGAAGTTGAACTTCAGACTAGTCCTCAGGTTTTGGCTTTGTTCTAACAAAAAAGCTTCTAGCTTCATCATCTGTAACATCACTGCCCATAAAAAGATATACAGAATTAGATGGATTCCAAAAAGTAATAATAATAATAATAACAATAATAATCATAATAATAATAATAATAATAATAGCAACAAGATCAAGGATTTGTAGGAATGTATTGGTGTAAAACCTGTCTACAGCTTCTGACTTGGGTATCAAGGTGAGTTCTTTGGAAGCAAGAAATTGAAAGAAACTTTTGTTGCCTTTCTTGTTGCATAGGAGGCAAAGATGCCTCAAGAAATCATTGTACCCTTTGGGCTCCTGCACGGGAAAAGGTTTATAGAATCAACTAACTATATTCAGTTCAAGCAAAAGAGAGGTGCCAGCAATATATATCACAAGAATGCCTTTTGCCTAGGTAGTTATTACGCATCATTTCAAGTAAAACTTATCAATTTTTAAGTCTGAAACCCATGAGAGAGAGAAAAAGAAACCTGCTCAAGGATGCAACCCTTGCGAAGTGCAACTAAAAATTCCACTGCTTTAGGATAAAGTTCACTTTCAGAGGAGTATTCCACCAGGAGAGAGATCTTATCTTTCATTTCCTTTATCGCTTTACCAACCCATTTTGGGCTATCTCTTCGAGACATCATGGCTTCAAAATCTTGTATAGGGGTCAAGTCTCCAATTTTCTCCACTTTAACTGGAGGAGCTGTTTCAACAGAATTTACAGCTAGAGCATCAGATACATCTCCATTACAATCCTCACCGCTTGATGCAGATGGTTTATCTCGCAGAAAACGCCTGGTTTTTTTCTTCAGCTGAAAACGGTTAACACTTAATGTTGATGAATATAACCAGAACAAAATTATGAATGGGTATCTTCATTTGGAAGTGGTTTGGCAAAACTAACCTTTGGATTTTCCTTGACTTCAAAGCATCTACAAAATGCCTCAATTGCAGACTTCTTTTCAGTAACAAGCTGCAGGTCAAGTTCAGTAATCTTCCTTAGGGTTTCATCAAGTGGAGGTACAGCTGGATCTGGCTGCTTCGATTTCAACTCAAGGTGACGGAAAAACCTCTGGCAATATACAAAATCAACAATTATTTTCAATTGAAACCAACAATGCACATTGAGTGGGAAAAGTGCCATTCTCAATCATCATCTTAAGAGAATTCCAAACATATCCCTATAATTGATATCTGCCACCAAAAAGAAATGCAGGCAGTTTCTCAATGTCACAATAACTATAGAAAGTAGTTAACTAGCTGAGTAGGGGAACCCCAGAAGCAAACTGAGGACTCCCGACACCAAATAAATGCAGTAATTCCATTATCATTAATATGATAACTGTTTTCAGAAAACTTCTGCGGGTACTTATTGAACATCTAAGGTGTAAAAATGCAGTCATTTGCAACCACAACTCTATCATGAATAATATTGTAGTTTCCGCCTTGCAGTAAAATGCAGTACAATACTGCTCAAGAACCCCACAGGCATACAAGAGAATAACAGAAACCTAAACATTTAAGCATCATGTGAATTAAATTAAGCAAAAAAATAATCCCATCAACAGGCACCTCCAGAACAGGATTGGGTGTTAAGTCAGGCTGCAATTCTTCTTTGCCAGAGGGTGCAAGATCAAGCATTTGCACGAAGTAATCTGCCACCTCTTGCTGTTGTTCATTTGGTTGCCATGAAGAAGGAAAACTGCTAAAAGAAGAGAACTGAAATTCTCGAAGATCCTCAGCAAAAGGAAGTATGTTGAAGTAAAATGAATCAGGCTGCACAGAAAAATCAGCAAGCAGGAGAAATTTCACAAGGCAAGAAATGCAAAATGAAGTGGTGATTAAAAAGCAACTACTCCAAGAGAAGGATGAAAAAAAAAAAAGAAAAAAAGAAAAAAGAAAAAAGAAAACCTACAATTTTATCATTTTCTGAAACATTAGGTGTCAAGACCCCCACGACAACACTTTGCTGTCCCTGTCTCCAAACACAACGTAAAATTGCAACCTTATTCATTTCCTTCATTGCTCTTGCCATGGCAGAAACAGCAAGAATAGCCCTTGCATTAACAGGTTCAGCAATAAAAGAGCAGACATCTTTCATGTAATAGTGTCTGCAATAAACATGCATGGGAGGACAGGAGAAAGAATGAGACAATTCATTTTTTTTTATTCAGCCAGAAAAAAAATTTATTTCTCCAAACAAATTTAATCAGAATCCAAATATAAGTATCAAGATAAAGAGGCTACCGTGGTATGTTTGTGGCATCAGTAAATCCCAGTAACTTCACTCCTTTTTCCGGCTTAAACTTGACAGCATCCAATACATCAGGAGATATAGGTACCACTTGGGGTCCATAACGGTAGCCTTTGATCCTTTGCTCTGGGGGTACAACTCTACTTGATTCACTGACACTTTTATACTCATAATCAACCTTGACTTGATGCGTAGCAAACTTATCAGTACGAGGTGCTTTATCAGAATATTTCTTAAGAGTAGGAAACTTCTCCTCTTGTGTTTTTTTATAAACCCAAACCTACAAAAACATTTATATCAGACCAAAAAAAAAAATTAAAAAAAAAAAAAATCCAAAGTGAAAACAAATTCGAATGCCATGACATAATAGGCATAGGTACCTTTAAGCCATTGACTCTCATAGCAACAAAAAGTAATTCATGATTGCTAAGATGACCAACATCCATTCATAACAACCAACCATTCCTAGTGCATGTGTTAGACTTTTAATTTCGTGTAGGTTACACAGGGTCCATGATCTATAACTCAGTTAATATTCCATTTGTGTCCCATGATTAAAAGGTTAGTGGCAACTTCTAGTCAAGGTTTATTTAGATGTATTATTTCCTTGAAATCTAACATACAACCATAATCAGTATGTTATGTTGCAGGAACATCTTTGACCATTCCTCAGAAACACAGCAATAGTCTCACCTTAATCTTCATTTTTGGGCTGATTTCAAGGTCACCTCTAAAGATTGTTACTGGAGTTATCTTTCGAGTTTTAAGAGCTCCCAACAATGAAGTTGGACTGTCAACATAGACTGTCCTTGTTCGTGTTTTCTTCGGGAAGAGATTCAACAGACGATCATTCTCATCTATAATTGTCTTATCTGCATCCTGGCTTAACCTTCCCCTCACAATAATACTTTCCATTTTCATGCCTTGTGCAGTCATTTGTTCAGCAATTGTGCTGACTTGATCTTCTTTTGTTCCTTCAAAAGGATCTTTAATAGGACATAGTGCATTTGTAATAAGACATAGGCGTTTCTTTCCTTTGTATGTTTCTCTATATTTCTTGATCAGCATATCCATCCCAACAATAATTGCATCAAGAACTATCAACATTAAGGAAACAAAAGCAGCAAAGCAACTAACTAGTAGTCACAGATTCACGTAAGAAACAATTGGGATTTAAAATCATAATAAGAAAATGATTAGAGAAAAGTTTGCATATTTGCATGACCTTATCAATAATACAATACACTGATACAATTTTGAAATTATTTTCTCTTAAAAGATGACTAGAGTAACTATTTATATAAACACTAACGTATACATAAACAAAAAGAGATTGTGTTATTAGGTAAGCATCATGCTAAGCAACAAAAATACCAATTTCCATAGCAAATAATCTCTAAAATTTAGAGGATACAATCACCATTGACAGTCCCATGAGGGACGTGCCGTACAGCTTCAACCAGGTCTCCATCAACAACTTTGATATTTTGCAAGACCACAACATGATCATATCCACCCACTTCCTTTGTCAGCTCATTGTTAGTTTCTGAGGAATCCAATGTCAGAGTATGAATTAAAGCTTCCTTAATGAATTTTATATAAAAAAAGTTTCAAAAATAAAAAGAGTAAAATGCAGACTAACATTAAATGCTTAATCGTCACTTCAAGTAGGAACTTTATTTGCTAAATTATAGGAATCACATGAAAATTTGTATAAATAGAAACAATAAATAAAGCTATGATCCTTCTCTCGTAATTTCAAAAAGTTTTCACAACAATAATTAAGATAATGCAGCAAACTCATTGCTCTTCCTTTTAGCACATGTAACTTCAGATTTCCATAGGTAAAATAATAAGTTTCTCTTAATCAAGAGTAATAATCAATCAACATAGCAAATCCAGGTTCACCAGTTGTACCTTCAGTTCCAAATACAACAACTCCCACTTCATCATTCTTGCTGTAAATAAGCTGCATGTACAAATGACAATAAGAACGACCATTCTAAACTCAACATTTCAAAAATGATTTATACTCGGATTTCCCTTAGCCTAACAACAAAAACCTTGCCTTAAAATCTAAACACCCCACACCCCGCTCCCCACAGTAACAATAAAGTAGTAATTAAATAAATAATCCCGTATATGTACTACAAAAATGATTTCTTAAAAAATTTGACTAAAAAGCGGTACCTTCTTCTGGATTAGCATGGAGCAGAGCTTTTCAACCTCGGGAAGCATAGCGTGCATTAAAGGACCAACATCAAGCAGCAAAACCATCCCTTCCTGTTACCAAAAGCGACACACGGGCATAATAACTAATTGTGCAAGTATAAAAGAATCTAATTAACACCAAAACACGAAAACCTCCCAAATTCACAGAAACGGAAAAGAAAAACATTTTAACTCTTTCCTCCATGTTAATTTCCAGCTTCTCTTATCCACCCACTTAAATTAGATGAAGTGACCAAAAAGCAGTTTCTCCTTCTACTTCTACTATTATGGTTTACCCTTAAAAAATATGCCTATAATGCTAAATTAAGTATCTTAATTTGGGTAAAATAAAACCTAAACCTAAACACAGAAAATCAAAGAAGAAGCATACCATTGAAAATTTTGTCTAAGCAGTCATATAAACCCAAAACTACTAGCATTAAATAAACGCAAATGACATGAAACAAAAGCAATGGGGAATTGCAACCCAAAAGAGGAAAGGAAAACAAGAAATTAGAGAGAATGAGAAGAAGAAACGCTAAAGGGTCGACGTTTGGAAGGCGATATTTTTACCCTGTTTCGAGCCATTGAAGAGGAGAAAATTGAAGAGAGAATTAGAAGGGTATAAAGCTTGTAGAAGAAGCTGGACTGAGAAGTAGAGCCTCTGTACTTTTTTCAACCTTTCTTATTCCCGCGTGGGCTTGCCTGTTTGTCCAGCTCTAGCCTCTAGCCCACATTAAAAATGGAGAATGGTATTATTTCAGTCCGGATTTTTTTAATTAAAAAACTGTAATTTGAATTAAAAAAATATTTTTAACAAATTTTATTTAATAAAAGTATTTAAATAATTTTTGTATTTTAAATTAATATTTTAAGCTAAAAAACATTTTTTTAAATTAATACTAATTAATGATATCTTTATATTATAAATATATATAAAAACTTTAAAAATTGACATAAACTTTTATCATTGGTATTAAGTAGATGAATTTAATTAAATAATTAATAAATTAAAATTTATTTTTTTAATATAAATTTATAACAAAAATATATATTTATTACAATGTTAACCTTAACATAAATTAAAAAAATTTTAAAATATTTGTTAAAAACAATATTTTTTTATGAAAAAAGTTTGAGAATGTTGGGGTGTAATTGTACTTCATGCATACTATAAAAAAAAAAAAAAAAAAAAAGAGTAAATCCTTAATATCAAATGTCCAATTCTCTACCAATAGTTAAGTAAAGGGTTATTTCACCTTTTATATTAATTTTAACATTTTTATTAAAAAAATGTGGGTTATTTATTTTTAGAAAGTTGTTTTTCACTGCCGACCGGAAAAAATAGACTCCACGCTTGGGAACGGCCTTGCTCAGAGACCCGCTGCCTGGCGACTAGTGGTAAAAGCCAACATTTAACTCAACCCTTTACAAAATTAATAGATTTTAACTCATCATTTTATAATATGATAATTTTAATTTTTTATCTTACAAAATTAATAAGTTTTAACCCTCATCTTATAAAGTTGGTAGATTTTAATTTATTATTTTATATTATAATATTTTTAACCTCTCACTAATATGAATTAAAGAAAATAACCTCACATAATATTAGGTTATAATGTTTTGTTAATTCTGTTAATTAATTATTAACATCCGTTAGTATTTCATTATAAAAAAACATGAAATTTAAATTCAATTTTATTTGTTAGTTCCATTAATAGAATGCTAATGGATGCTAACAGTTAACTAATAGAACTGACAGTCAGCTAACAAAACTAATAAAATATCATAATCTGATGTTAAATAAGGATTATTTTCTTCAATTCATACAAATAAAGAGCTAAAAGCGTTATAATATAAGGTAAGGAGCTAAAACCTACTAACTTTGTAAAGTAAGAGATTAAAATATACTAACTTTATAAAATAAAGGGTTAAAAATACCATATTATAATGTTAAAGACTAAAACCTACCAATTTTATAAGGTGAAATTCTAAAGGTTAAGTTTAGCCGGCGACTAGCTGAGCTCATGCTTTCCAACAAGAGAGGAACTACTGCCATAAACCTTCTCCATTTAATTTATGATTCCTCCGAGACATACATATGCACCAAGATTAGATAGATGTGGTAAAAGCAAACCGGCCTGTTAATTTGACTTGTCAACTTGAATCTAACCTAATTCATATAAACGGATCAAGGATAATACTTTTGAATTTGTGGCCCATTAACAATTTATGAAATTGATTTAAATAGATCACAAATTAAAAATAGTTAATTTACTAGTTCATAAGTTGATTCATTTAATAAAAAATATAATTTAAATTTTAAATATTTGATTTTTGTTAATAATATTAATCCAGCATTTAATGATGACAAATGTTAAATTTAATACCAATTAAAAATTTAACTAAATTTAGTTAAAATAAATGGCATGCTAAAAATATATTTTATGAACTCCAGCAGAGCATCAAGAACGATGATATGTCTCCGAGCAAGAAACACAATAACATCCACTGTAGTGCAGACGGTGTTAACTTAAAAAAAAAAAAAAAGTTATTTTTATTTTTTAAGCCAAAAGTTTTTTTTCGTAATAATATATACTCAGTTTTTTTCCCCTTAAAGATATACACTCAAATTAAATGAATAAAAAGCTCTGTTAATAAAATAAATGATATCCTAAAACTCCATGTAAATAATGGTCTTGAAATAATTATATATCTTAAATTCTTTCAAGTAATTTTTTATTATTGACTCTTTTCACAATTTTTTACAAGCTTAGTTAAAATAAAAATATGACACTAATGCTTACTGTTATGAAAGTTTATTCTCTAGTTTTTTTAAAAAGTTATTTTAAAAAAATAATTCTCTCCTAAATATATCACTTATAAGTGAATTTTAGCAGTTTAAAGGTTATAAAATTTAATTTTAACAAAATAGAACAAAAAAATTCACATTGAGAAAAATAAAACAAAAAAAATCACATTGAGAAAAATAAGAAATAAAAAAGAGTACCTGTAGGCTGATTGTAACCTGCTATGGTATGATCAGGTTAAGGTTAGGAATCATTAATTCGTGACCCATTTATGAACTGACCCATGTAATTCATAACCCGAGTTGATTTAACTGAAATCCTATCTGTTTACACCCATTTTAAAAAAAAAAAAAAAAAAGTAAAATGGTGCTTCGTATCATCCATGTTGGCAATTGTTGGTGTAAATCTTTTCAAATAAGATTGAGTGGTTATTCCCACAATGGTAGTAAAATCGTTACCTTGTTGCGAGCTTTCAGGAGAATAATCTCGGCAACATCAACAAATCAATCAATTTGTTTCAGATATCACGCTGCCGTTGGTTATTCAAGATTGCTGCCACAGATTTCTAAGCATGTTGACAAGGGTGTTTCTGCTATAAATATGCGAAGAAGAAATGAAGTAAAGGGACCAGCCTCTCACACAATTAGCCCAGCGCTATCTACATTTTAGTTTTACAAGCAATATCTTAATTTAGATCCAGTCTTCTCAAATAGCTTTCCTAATTTAGTTTTTAACTCTATGTTGCCATTAGTTTTAACTTTGATTTTTTTTATTTTGTTATGAACATCTTCACTCAATATATTTAGTTTTCTGCAATTCAATTTATTACACTTTGTCCCAAATTCATCTTTCTAACTTCTTTTAAGTTTTGTTTTATACTTCCTATTTTATTTCATTCTTTACACTTTCATGCTTTCGTGACGGTATCACGTTTTTTCTCTGCAATTTAGTTTTCCTACCATGCACCCTCTTTCTTCTCCTTTCCATTATTTTTCTCTTTTATTTTGATCAGCAAACTAACATTTTGACCTTAATTGTGGGAAGTCCTGATTTTCTTTCAGGATAATTATTTATGGACCTTTATACAAGAATGCACCCACATTTCTGCGACAATTGTCTGATCAAAGCACATCTTATAATTTATTTAACCGGTACTCTTCCATCAACTCGTAGCTAAGTTACACGCTTGGAAGCAATGAGGATCACCGAGAATCCCTCTTTCTCACTTTAAGTAAAGTGAGTGGCACATCTTTGTAGTCTTATCTACTTTGCGTTTAGAAAGGGAGATTTTGGAGACAACACTATGTGATCCACCCGTTTGCCTCCCCTATGCCGAGATCATCCAAACACCAAAAGGGCTCAAAATTAGCAAAGCCCCCAGTAGAAGAACTTGACAATCCGGCTTGAGAAGGTAAGAAGATCGTTGATTTCTTCAAAGAGATTGAGGTAAAATGGAAATTCATTTGCTTGGAAGCAAAAAGCCTAACCCTAAAAAGTCAAGTTGTTTTTACCCGCAACGATTGTTTGAACTCAGTTTCCACAAGAAACACCAAAAAAGGAGACTTTTTTTGGATTCAAAGATAATTCAAGCCGAACAGATGATTCTGAAATGTTATCGCTGAAAAACTCGCTCATCTGTAGGGGAATCAAGAGGGAATCAACCCCCTTACCCAAAGAGCTTAAAGAGAAGAAGAAATTGGTGCTTTTTTATAAGTTGAAAATGATCCCATTCAAATGCCTCCGTACTAAAAAATAATAATAATAAAACAACTTTCTGATCATTTTCGTGAATTTTCAATTAAGTAGTTGCTAGCTTGAAAATATATTTAATGAAAAAATTAGTAAGTATTATATGAAAAATTAATAAATTTTTTAAGAACATTTTTTTATAATATTTTTAGTATGGTTAGCTTTTGTAGTGAAATTTTCTTTGATAAGAAAGTTTTTCCCCTTTTTTCCTTTGGTAAAAAGAGAATATATTATAGCTAGTTAAACCATTACAGAAGTTATGGGGAAGACATTCCCCGTACAATTAAAGTACAAAATATAACACAGCCAAGTTCAGTAGGACATTAATTTAGTACAACAAAACGATGAGCTCATTTAGTGGTCTTTATTTAGCTAAATAATCCGTTGCAGCACTGGCCTCCCTGAAAATGTGACTGAACTGCAAATAAAGTATTTGGCCGTACAACATCTTTGAATCGAAAATAAGAGGACCTAAGGAGTGGAACTCCAAGTCATTTTCGTCAATCAATATTTTGGCAATCTTTTAATTAGACTTTTAACGTAACTTGTAAGTTAAGCAAGATCAAACTACTTTCAAAATTCAACCACTTGATTTTTACTATCTTCAAAGTCTAGAAAATATCTTTGTTGTTAAGTATATAATAATATTATATTTATAATATTATGTAAAATTATAAATTTATAATTATAATATATTATTAAATAAGTAAATATATATAATATTATAAAATAATTAATAAATAAAAAAATAAATTATATAACGATATATCATGTTGTATATTAATAATATCATTATTTTTATTAAATATATGAATTTTTTTATAATTTAAATTGTATTAAATTATATAATTTAAATCATTAAATAAGAATTAACTATTTTGATATTGAGTGGTATCTCTCATTTAATAATTTCTCTATGGAATTTAATGAAGCTCTAATAACAAAATAAGGATCCTAAGTACATAGGCAAAAATAGTATATTTATTCATTTACTTTTAGTAATTATTGGGATGAACCCTTCTATTTTTAAAAAAATAAATTTCTACTTTTCATTTTAAATTAAATCAAATTAGCATTCTTTTGTTTTTTGTTAAAATAAATTAGTTAAAATTTATCAAATAACCCAATCCATACAAATTTGCCTTAGTTAACGGGTTTATAGAATTGCCCTCACGTGATACAAGCCATCTGTTTCTTTTGTGCTTGCGTGGCGTACTTTCTCTACATCATTGATGACGTGGCACTCTAAAGTTTAAGGATACGTTTAGAGTTTCTGTTACAGAATTTTTTTATTAGTGATATAATACTTTTAGGTGTATAACTATTTTTTTTTTAGTTATAAAAAGATAGGTTAAATCTCTATTGTGGTTTCTGAACTATTGTATGGACCCCTCATTTGGTCTCTAAACTAAAAAAATCTCTAATTTGGTCCTTGAACTATTGTATGAGTTGTTGGTCCCTAAACTATTGTATGGACCCCAAGTTAGTCACTAAACTATTATACAGATCCCCAATTTGGTCCCTACTGTTTACCAATTTAGCCTCAACTTGGTCTTCTGTTAAATAATAGCTCAGGGACTAAATTGGGGCAAAATTGTAAACAGTAGGGACCAAATTGGAGGTCTGTATAATAGTTTGAGGACCAATTTAGGCCAAATTATAAACAGTGAGGATCAAATTGGGGTCCGTACAATAGTTCAAGGACCAAATCATGGATTTCTTTAGTTCAAGGACCAAATCATGGATTTCTTTAGTTCAAGGACCAAATTGGGGGTCTGCACAATAGTTTAGGGATCAAAATGGAGATTTAACCAAAAAGATATAATAAATTTACAATAATTTTATATATCAAATTAAAAATTTTATTTTGAAACTCTATGACTATAGTTTTGATAGATAATATTTAACATTTAATATATTATAAAATAATTTATTAAAACCTAACCTTATTTAATTTAATTATATAATAATTTATAACATTTTATTTAAACTTAACTTCTCGTTTATTTAAAAATTTTATAAAAAATTAAAAATTCATTCCATCTTTTTAAGAGTTTTTCTCCTGTGAAACCCAAAAAAATGCTTATCATAAGAAATTTAAAAACCCTAAATTATTAAGAAGTAATAAAAATTATCTATTTTAATAATTATACATCATACAATATTTTTAAATTTTTAATTAATAATTAATAAAATTTATCATATCCCATTTATGATATTTTTAAGAAATAAATAATCAAATATCAAAATAATTTTTAATCACAATTATAACTACAACCATAGTTACAATACAATACAATTACAGCTACAACATCTCATAACAATCTCAAATGCACCTTAAATCATATGCATAATGATTCATAATTTTATAAAAATATTTTCTTTCTATTATTTTTAATAGATTTAATATAATTTTTAAAATTTTCAAACATAAATTTTATATATATTTAAAACAGTATATAAATGATAATTAAAATTTTTTTTATCTAATTAAAATACTCAATAAAAAATTTATATAAAAAATACTTTTTTAATTATTATTGGTATAAATTGTTAAATTTCTATCTAAAATTTATATTTAAAAAATTAAAAAATTAAATTAAATTCGTTAAAGATAAGCGAAAGGAGTATATAAAATAATCCATAAATGTCTTTTCTTTTCACAAATTTACATGATATTAAAATGACATATTTGATATTCTTCTTGGCTGAAATTAGATATAAAATTATATTTTTTTAGTAAATGTACACCCAATTCATAAATTTCTACACTTTTCTTATTTTTTCTTATTAATTTGTAATTAATTTTTTATTTAATAGAAATTTGCTAAGCTCTTATAATAAATAAATTAATAGTGAAATTTAAATTTTTTTCTTATATTTAAAATTTTAAAATTAATTTAAATATTAAGACTATTTATAAAATATTCAAATGTTTATTAACTTTCTTTATCTATTAATTCACTAAGAATATATTTGTTTTTTCATTATTAATTCCGACATTTTCTACAATTCCTCTAGTAGTTACATACTAAACCTTTAATGGCTATTCACATTAAAAAACACGTTTTTGTTTTTTTTTTTTAATGAAAAATACATGTTTTTGTTAATTTATTAAATTTATTTATTTTAATGAAAGTCTACTAAATTTATAAAATGTAAAAATACTAAAATTAGTAATAATATTAAAAATAATATTTTACATCTAATCTATACAATGTACAATATCTTGCCACTTGAATGAGTGAAATTTTGCGTTTATCCCATTCATCTTGGAGCCTCAAAAAAAGATAATAATAAGTCAATTTATTTCAATTTTTATACTAATATATCTTTTTGTTACATAATTTTATATTAGTATTAGTATAATAAAAAAATATTATATAATATATAAAATTACATAATATAAATCATTAAATAAATTAAGAGATCTAATATTGGAGATTGTTTCTCATATATTAGATTTGTTACAATATATTTGGGTTGAATGAAATGAAAGCAATGGAAAAAATTTATTTATATGATTATCAAAAAAAAAAAAAAATTGAAGGAAAAAGAAGAAAGTCTTTTATTTTAGTTTGGGTGGTAATATATGAATAATTTTTTTTTATCATCTTTTTATATAATTTTCATATGCCATTAATGAGTGGATACACTTAATTTTACGAGTTTAAAATGAATACAAAAATCAATTATTTAAATAACATGTAAGGTTGTATAAAATAATGTACAATAAGATTGTTCCAAATTTATTTTTCTTTTAATTTTTTTAATTTATTTATAGTATATTTAAATTGAGAGGATAGAGATGAAGAAAAGATGAAAAATTTTCCTTATTTTATATCATTAATTTATTTACTCAACTCTAAAATAATTGTCATTTTTTTATTTTAATTTATGTCAAATTAATTATTTTTTTATTTCTTAAAATAAAAAAATATTTTTATTTTAACATTATTATTATTTACTTTAATTAATTATTTAATTATAAAAAATATTTTCTTTTTATTTTTTATTTTTTGAAAATATTATAAATAAACGTAAATATTATTTTAAAATTTTTAATTTAAAAAAATTAAAAAATAATTATTATTATAAAATCAAGAGAGTCCTTATTCAAATAAAAAACAAAGAGAGAGAAAAAAAATATAACTTCTCTCTCTTTCCTTCCACAGTTATTTATTCATATAATGAGAGGAGAAAAAGGAAGGGGAGGAAAATGAAAGTACAAGGATCATTCCATTTTCATTTGCTTTCCCTTCCCTTACATCAGATTCTTTTGAGCCAGTTTATTGGATCAAATGGTAGGTGTATATAATATTTAAATATAATTAATTAAGATTTTTATTCTCATTAATTATTTAAAAATGATCTATTTTCTCAAATTCTCCGTGTTAAAAAATAAAAATAAAAAATCCCTTCCGTCAAACCAATCGTACTGTTTGTTAGTATGATAGAAGAAAGCAGCAAGCGCAGCTGCAGAGAAGAAATGTTGCACAGCTTTAACCGCGGAGAAGCCGACAAACACACACAGCTTTACAACATTCCAGCCGCCACTAACAGTAGTGACGGCGTTAGTTTTCCACTATTCTCATCACAATACCCACTTCTTCCACGCTCGTGTTTGCTTGTTTCAAGCTCTGGAAATAGGAAAAAAGACTCATCTGCGTACGAGACGACTTTTCTCGCTTGGAAAAAAGGATCTATGACGCGGAAATAATGGGGTGAGGGTGACCCGGTGAGTGGGACAATTGAAACAGAGGAGAAGCGTCAAGCGGTTGCTTTTCAAGAATGGTCATTCGTTACTGATGGCGCCGGTCAATGGTTGATAAAACTCTCTCTTTCTTCTTTTCTTCTCTTCAAAATTCGGTCTCTGGGTTCCCGTCAACGCATTTGGGTTTTTCAGGGGTTCTGAATTTACTTCTGGGTTTTCTCTGATCACGAAAGAATTTGGGTAAAGGGTTGTGCTTTTTGAATTCTGGGTCTTTGCTTTGCAAGTTCGCTGGAGAGATAAATGGCGGTAAGTGTTACTCTTCTATGTTGTTTTATTGTTTTGTTGTTGCTGGTGGTGGTGGTAGTCTGGTTTAGGTTATTTTCTGTTTGTTTGCTTAGAAAGCTTCACGAGATAGAAGGATAAATGAAAATTTTAGAATTTTATGGTTTTATTCACAAATAGGATGATTTTATTTGTTAACCCTCATTCTGATTTTTTTGTTAGATTGGTTATATTTTGATTGCCAATGCTGGTCTTTTATCATCTACTACACGATAAAGTTCTACATGGTGGTTGAATCTGGTGACCTGGCGCTTATTTCCTTGTGGGGTTGTGAATTTGTGATTTGAATTGTTTGGGAAGTATGGGTTAAAGTGCTTTTCAAATTGCATCTGCAATGCTTCACTTTACGTTTTAAACTTTATATATGATGATAATTAGAAAATAAATACTGAACATTCTGGTTCCATAAGGACTAGCAGGTGGAGCCGATTAGTATTTTGAATATCTGTGTTTTCCCCCTTTTTTTTATGGATTTTTGGAATATTGAGGGAACAATTAGAGATACTAGAATGAGGCTGAATTACAACCTCTGCAAGTATATGTTTAAAGAGAGGGTTGAGATTTGGGTAGAGAGCTCCTCCTATATCTGGAAAAAAAATGAGAAAGAAATTGACCTGAATCTAATGGAAAAAATAAGCATATTAGGATAAGAAGCAAGAAACTGAAAATTAACAGACTTGATGGTTGTCAAATATTGATCTTAAACAATTCTGTGTAGGAGAGTGATTCATACCATCTACATACAGCCGCTATAAGTTGATTCTATGTGTTCAATGTTGCACTAGTGTCATGCCTCCTATGACAACCAAAAGGGAGTGATACTGATATGTCTTGCATGATATCACAATTTTGCATTGAATAATTATATGATCAACAAGCTATGTTCGTCATTTTTGGTTATTGCGAATGGAAGCAATTAGTCAAAGCACCTTAGGGTTTTTTTTGGCCAGCAACCTCAGGGATATTGTTAAGATTCTTGATTGGAAGTGATTTTAATATGAAACAAAATGGTACATGAGTCTTAAATCAGTTTAATTTGTCAAATTTAACTTCCTGCTAAGTGCTAAATCACTCTCTTAAACCATTATATATTTATTTGTTTTGGAATATTGTATTGTCAAATGTCAATTAAAGACAGTGGTAGACAGATTGGTTAATACTTAATACCGTGGGTTATATTGATAAGGAAATATGTGTCAAGTTTTGGATTGTGTTTTACTGGATGATGATTGATATAAGCTGTTGTTTTGAAATGTTCTCATGGAACAGTTTTGTTGCATCTTTTATGGCGAAATTTTGTGATTATTTCTCTTTTTTCTGGAGTCCCTACAAAGCCTATATTTGAGTTAGTTCTGTAAGGTTGAGAATTAATTTTCTGCATTGGGAAATTGCATTCCTGTTTTAGATTGGAATGTATACAAATAAAATGTTTTGACCACTCCCTTTTTCTTTGAGTCAAAATTCAATGCATTGTGGTCAACTGCATTTAAGTACCTACTGCCTAGATGTGGAAAAACTAAAATGGTTATCATTGCTATATTTTATATCCTGTGCATTGAAGGCAATTCCTATTAATCTAAAAGAAACTATGCCCTATGAGGTTTTGGTTAAAACCAATGAGTTTTTGTTAGATATTATGCATCTGTCTGTGATGGTTGAACCCTACCATTAGCATGTGGTTCTTTTCACATAATTGATGCCATTATTCTTGCTTATTTTTCTGTTCCAATAGTTGGAATCTTAAGCCTTTGGTTATGTTCTCAATTAATGAGAATTATTTTTTCAAAATGCTAGAAAAAGGTTTCCTTCAAAAGGTTTCCTTTCAAAACCTCTTGTTCAATTTATTTGCTTCTCATACTGTTTCATCCTTGCTTAGGAAAAGGGTGTAATATATTTCCTAAGAAACTTTTAATATATGAAACTTTGCATGAGAATGTTTCATGCTTTAATATATGGAACTTCACTTGTCCTTTTTGAACTGATCTGCTTCTTTTTCATATCTCCCATAGCTTTTATGGATATAAATTTACTTACTACAGAAACTACAAAAAGTCAGAGTGTAGTATAATCATGACAGTAGGTACCCTGATAAACATGCTTCTTCCTACTTTTCTGCCAAGAGAATCATTTACCCTGATAAATTTACTCAGGCAGATCCAATCTGATTTGCAAAGCCTTCTGATTCCTTGTTTTAAAGAAATCACTACTACTGAACAACATGGTTCTTCGGATTTTGGTAAATGTTATTACATTTCTGTTTTGGTGGTTGTTTAATTGTTATGACTTCTTATATTGGCCAAACTTTCTTCAGTTCAAAAGCCAAACTAATGACCTTATTATTATTTTTTATTTAACTGTTTGATTTTGGTGTCAATCCCTTCTGATATTTATATTGACATGTTAAACCAAAGTTCTGTAAATGGAAAATTTTTAGGGGGTTGAGGATAAAATTTTAGGCTTTTGGCTTTATTTTTCTTATTGGAAAGTTTTATGTTTACTGAAATTTTCGTTTCATCTATTGGTCTTTCCAAATCAAAGTCATCATTCTAGTAAAGATCGTTGTTACTTTTGGTTGTGAAGTGTGAACTTTGCACAAGAAATGGTAATGCAGCTATAGCTTATTGACAAGTATGACATTGGTCATTGACTGGCACAAATTCATTATTCAGTCTTGACTTTTGGATGTAATATTGTATTATTTTCCTTGGTGAAACTTGTTCTTCCCCTAAAGTCTAAAGATCCTGTCTTTATAAGGAATCATCTTTAGGTATTAGGACTTTCTAATCAGTTTCACGTAGAATTCCATCAATTTTACTCTGGTCATAAGGTGGAACAAACTAAGTTGAATTTGTGTTGTATGTTCCAGCAAATTATAACAAATTCTTTGTGCCATGACAGGAACGTTCACATGTACCAGCATTTGGCAATTGGGAAAGTGAAGAAAATGTTCCTTACACAGCTTATTTTGATAATGCCAGGAAGGGCCGAAATGCTGGGAAGATAACAAATCCAAATGACCCTCAAGAGAATCCAAAATTTCTTTCTGATTCTGCAGTTAGAGGTTCTCCATCCAGAGCAAAAGCAGATCATGATGAACCAGTAGGACTGGCCCCTGTTGGAAGGGTACATGGTCGCCATAGAAGCAGGGAAGATAGCGAGCTAAAACAGTTTGCTGAATCTCCAGCACGTAATGATAATATGCACCGCAGAGCTTCTGGTGACTCCACTCCTTCACGTTATGGACGTGGAGTAAGTTCTGGTGAAACCCCGAAACGACCCACAAGACATAGTACTGGGTCTGAGTACAGCATGGAGCGTTCTCCACTCCATCCTCATGCAAGGGTTGCAGGGAGAGGCATTATGACGTCACCGGCACGGGAAGGAAAAGCTTCGCATGATAGTGGCCATGGTACTCTTGGAAGATCCAAAATGAGACCTCGAGGCAATGAAAGTGTAATAACTTCTTTCTTCTTGCCTAGTATTTTATTTCCTGCAATAAATAGCATGTTCTTTACATTTTGGTTGTGAATCAGGATGGATGGAAGAAGCCTTTTCTTTTTCTTTCTGCTTCTCTGGGAAAATATTTTTTATTATGAAACTCATGCATGAACTTCACTTTGGCCAAAAAAAGAAAGTCTCACTTTCTTAACCACCTAAAGTTGTAACCATAATTGACAATTTCCTTGCCTCATAGAAAGGGTTCTCTTTTTTTGGTACATCTAATATCATGGGCTATACAACAAGAGATAGCCTTCCCCTTTCCCCTTACATGTCACAAGGTTCAAACTTAAGACCTCCAACATGAAGGCTCTAACTCTTAACCATTGGGACATCCCCTAGGGGACAAAGGGTTTGTCTTTTTTATATCTGATCTTGTTTTTGTCAACATAATGAAAATTTCTCCTTGGAAACTTGAAGTAGTTCTGAACACATTTTCTCGAGTCAATTAAAACCCTGCTACTTGCTTTTTGCCTTTTCCATTCTTGGATTAATTGGTGATTGGGTGAAATTTGCTTCTGCACATTTGTTCTGTAATGCCCTAGTTCCACTGGTGATGAATCTTTCTGAGAAAAACTAAGCCTAATGCAAAACTTGTTAGGAGTTTTTTGTGACTTTCTTTGTTCTGGTTTGGCAGCCTGATAAAGGTGCTGCTGTTCCTAAATTTGGTGACTGGAATGAGAATGACCCTGCATCAGCTGATGGTTATACTCACATTTTCAACAAAGTGAGAGAAGAGAGGAACAGCGGTGGAAGAGCAGGCACTGGATCTGAACAATCTTCATATCCGACCATTCGAAAACCCACCAATAACAGCTCTAAGGTATATCCTTTATGCCATTTCCTCATCAAGCGACTTGACTCCAATTCTTTTAGTCTAGATGAAACATCCATTCCTAATGTTGTATCTATCTTCGTTTATTCATTTCTCCAGGGTTGCTGCTTTCCATGGCTCTGCAAGTGAGGCCTATGAATATGTGAACGTATATTGTATTTTGTGGAGTGTGGAACTTTGTAAATGCATGAAGTTTCTCAAAACAGAGTAGCTTCTCGGAACTGCCTATTTGTGTGCCTTTTTCTTTTCCTTTTTTATGGGAAGACATGCATCCCATTTCTTTGGTCATCATTTTTGCACGTTTATTGTAACATGAAGACGAAGATTCATTCATTCTATTCCAACATATTTGGGTTTGGTTTGGAATTGTTTTTGCATTCTGTATAATTTATTTTCCTATTACCCAAAGGAGATTTTATAAAATGGTGAAGCTAGATGTAAAAAATTTTTCACAATACTTAGGCAGAAAAATCTGTTTTATTCTGTTCCAACATATTGGATGACGATGGACCATTGTTGATAGGTGTAGTTAATTCTATTTAATGGTTGGTATTTTACTGCAGGCTCGCCAAATTAGGACATTGGACTACTTTTAGGAAGAACTCGGTAGAAAAGGGACTGAAAGTTGGCAAAAAAGTAAAGGGACTGATATGTTACAAACGGAAAAGATTTTTAGGATCCTTTGATCCTTGCTCCACTCCTGCAAGTTTCTGAACGCTTGATTTGAAGCAAGATCACCAATCGGACGTACGCAGAGTGCTCTAAAGAACCATTCGGTTGTCTTCTCAGGAAACTTTTTTTTTTTTTTTGGTAACAACGAGAAATAACATTAAAAAAACATACAAGTTCAGGTTCTGGGGTAGCCAACCCCAATAGCATCGGCTACACAAAGCAGTTTAAAATCTGCAAGACAGTTATACAGGTAACAAAATTAAATGAAGACTGAGCATCCTTCTTGGCCATGGCATCAGCAACCATATTACTCTTTCTGAAAACATGCCTTAGACAAGCATGGGGAATCATATTCAAAAGGGCCCTGCGATCTATAATGAGAGTACTATGAGGTTGGTGAGGATTGGAGGTAGTAGAAATTAACTGGAAAGCAATCGTAACAATCAATTTCTACAATAATATAATCGAAGTGCAAATTGAGAGCCATCTTGAGTCCATTTCTAGTGGCCCATAATCTAGCAACTAACACAGTTGTGAATCCGATATTTCGAATATGTTCAAGAACCCGCTAGCCTTGCGAATCTAAAAACAAACCTCTACCACCCAACCTCAGATTCTCCATCACAAAGCCGTCTGCACTGAGTTTAATCCAATCTGGTGAGGGAGCGTCCCAAGCGATCAACAGGGCTTGTTTCTTTTTACAGCTAGTATGAGGAGGTGGGCCTATAACTCAGCCGCGTGCTCCACAATCAACTCAACAATAGCTTGAACATTCACCTAATTACCCCAGTAGAGAATACGATTTCTTTGATTCCAAATTGTCCATATAGCAAAACAAAAAATAATAACCCAAGGCATACAATGGATAGTACTAGGGGTCATGTTAGTAGCCTGGAGTTTAAGCCAATCTTTAAGACTAATCAAGACGTGATCCATGTCAAGAATTTCAGGGAGAAGCATATTGAGAACAACTACTGTTTTGAAACTTGATCTGGCTCGGTTAGTTCAACCAATTGAACTGGATTCGATTCTACATGGGTTAAATAATGGTATTTACCTGTTTAAAGTCAAACTCGATCCCCGTCCAAACCAAGTCAAACCTGGTTAGATACGATCAAATTTGCTCAAATCCTATCAATTCAATTGACCCGACTGATTTAACTTTTTCTCTTTTTACATTTTGACTGTCTTTTTTTTTTTTTTTTTAAATTTTTCATTAATTTTTATATTTCTATTTATTTAGTTAATAAATAATATTATAATTAAATTGTAAAATCTATTTAAACTTAAATCACAATTAATGAATGGAAAATTTTAAATTAATTTAAATGTAATTTGAAATTAAATTATTATTTCAAATTAGAGAGTGATTTTAACTTAAAATCAAATCAATTTAATTTTAAAAATAAAATAAATAACTACTTTAGAAAATGAAATTGATGATATCAATTTAAAATTAAAATCGATCTTAAGTTATATTAGAAATAAAATCAATTACTATTTTAGATAATAAAATGAATGAAGTCTTTTTAAAATTAAAATTAAATAAAATTAATTTAAAATTAAAATTAATCTTAAGCAATTTTAGAAAAAAAATCAATATAAGGAAAATATAATTTTATAATTAATATGATATCAATGTTTTAGAGGCCTATTAAAGAAAAATGTATTATGTATTTTAATAAATTTAATGAATGAAATTAGTTTTAAATCAATAAAATTTGAAAATAAGGTCTTAAAAATTAATAATTAGTTTGATCAATAAATATAAAAATGATTTCAATCAATTTAATAAAAATAATTAAAGTAAAAATAATTTATAATTGATAAAATGAATTAAATGGTATTTATTAGGTTGACTGTTGACTTGGCCAATTAAACCGGTTCAACCAGTAGAACCAAACTTGGTGACCAAAATGGGTCAATCATCGAGGCTAGACTTTAAAACATTAAGAACAGCTACTGAAGAAGAACAACTCTAGAATATGAGGTCTAAGGACTCAGCTTGACCATTGCAAATCCTATAAATAAGGTCCTACACAATACTAAGGGGGTGGATGAATTCTATAGATTTAATTCTGCCATGATAAAAAAACCAAATAAAGTTGTGAATTTTAGGCAATGTAGGGAATTTCTAGATCTACCCTAAGTCTTAAGATAATATAGTATGCCCAGGATTGAGAGTTTTGAGTGTTGAAGCAGAAAAAAAAACAATCCACTAAGCTCCCCTTTCTAAGAAAAGGTATAAGGAAGATGATAAGTAAGAAAGGGGAATGGTCCTGAGGGAGTTATTAGTATCCAAATCCAAGTGATAACCGATAACATTCATATCCACAACACCCTCATGAATAGCTTGGGCAAGAGAAGTAGAAATGGTGCTTGGAGAGAATGGACCATAGAAAATGAAGTTAAGAGGGGCATGGCCAATCTACTGCTCAAACTAGAAAGAAATAGATTGGCCATATGGGGGAGTCCATTGATAGCCTCCTTAAAAGAGGTTAACCCCTTTTCATAAGTTTTTAATCATTGGGGAACCAGTGGTAGGAAAAGGGGACTTAGGGCCAAAGATTTTGTATTTCTGCACAAAGACTTCTCAGGATACATTTTTTACATAACACTTTATAAGTGTTTGTTTATTACGATTAAATTAATTTTAATTAATATTTTATATAATTTTATATTCATATTAATATATAAAATAACTTATCAAATAATAATATAAAATTTGATAGTAAAACATTAAAAAAGAAATAGACACAATACTTTACAATTGCATTATAAAATTATATTATAATTTTTTAATGAAATTTTTTAACTTATGTCCTTTAACCACATATTAAACTTTATTAATTATAATTTTTATAATTAATTTAGAGTTTGTACTTAAAATCTGTGAAAAATTATGAATTTAAAATAAAAATTTATATAAAATTAATTAAAAATATCTTAATTAATGGGTTTTAACCAATTCTCTCAAAGTATAATGTAGATAAACCATTTTTTTTTTATAATAGAATACTTAACAAAATAATATATACTCTATCATACAAGTTTATTAAAATATTTTTAATAAAATAACATAAAAAATAATTTTATTAAAAGTATTTTAATAAATTTATAATGTAGAGTTTCTTTTTAGGGGTTAGTGCTTATCTACCTTATCTCCAAAAAATTAAGAGAAAAAAGAACAAGAATCATCTTCATGTATGCTTTAAAAATAGGGTAGTTTAGTTTTTTTTTAATAAAAATTTATTGAAATGACGTAGTTTTGAGATGATTTTCCTCCTAATTTTTAGGAGGTGATGCTGATAGGCACCATTTCCTTATTTTTAATATCTAAAGATATATTAAAGTAAAACCGAAAAAACCTTTTATGTTCACATTGTGTGTTCACACTTATTCACACTTATAAATTATATAACTTTTATCTTTTGAACCCTTGAACTGGATCAAAATTGGATTGGAACCAGTTTAAATACTTCTTTTCACACTATATCAAATTTTAAAATAGAGGTAAAATTATTGTTATACCCTTAATAATTAATGTCATATCTTTTTAATATAATAATACCTATATACCATTACATTATATTTTTCTTAAATTCAATCAATCAATTTAATTTAATTCAATTCAATTATATTACCCATTTTCCTAAATTTTTATTAAAAAAATTCATTAACTTATATTTATGTATCTGTGTAATTGAATTGAAAAAAAAATTGTGTGTTTTTCTTATTTATTTCCCTTTTTATTTTTATTAAATAAAAATAACTTGCACCATCAAAAAGTCTAAAGCTCATATTTTCCGCTTCTCCACCACAAACTGAAACCTTATCTTCCTCATTGTTGCTGAATCTCCTTCCTCACCAAAGCCATGGCCGTCGGGC